AATAGGTTTGAAAATGAAGGCCATAACGAGACATAAAGGGCCCTACGTAATCCTAAAGAGATCGATCCAACAAGAGTATATAACCCTGGTAAACATATGCACCCAATATAGGAGCACCTAAATATATAAAAAAACTTCTGGAGGACTTTAAAGGAGAGATCAATAGCAACACATTCATAGTAGGGGACATTTACACCCCACTGGCTTCACTGGATATATCTTCCAGACCAAAAAATGAACAAGGAAAGTTACTCTAAAAGAGGGGACATTTGTAATACTTTCAACAATAAAGACAAATTTCAAAAAACATAGCACTAGATCAGATGGTTTTATGGAACTGCCATTTGACCCGGTGATGCCACTTCTAGGGATATATCCCAAGAAACCTGAAACACTAATCAGAAAGACTATATGCACCCCTATGTTCATAGAAGTACAATTTACAATAGCTAAGATCTGGAAACAGCCCAAGTGCCCATCAGTAGATGAGTGGATAAAAAAGCTGTGGTACCATGGAATACGATGCAGCTGTAATAAGGAAGGATCCCTTGTCCCTTGAGACAGCATGGAGGGACCTGGAGAGTGTTATGCTAAGTGAAATAAGCCAGTCAGAGAAAGACAAGTATCACATGATCTCATGCATGTGAAATCTAAAGAACAAAATAGATTCAAAGACATAGAAGCATGGAACAGACTGTGGAATCTCAGAGGGAAGGCGTAGGTGGGAAGATATCAAGCAAAGAACTTATATGAATGTATGCATATCCCAGGGACACAGACAGTAGTGTGGTGAATGCCTGAGGTTTGGGGGCGGTATTGGTGCATGGTAGAAGGGGTCAATGGGGAAAAGAGAGGACATCCATAATACTTTCAACAATAAAGATAAATTTAAAAATAAAAGAGTAGAGGCAGGAGATAAGGGAAAATGGTGGCTATAGATGAAACTGGGTTTGTTGGTTTGGAGACAGGAAGTTGAGAGAGTTCTCTGAAACAGGAGCCAAAGTTTTATTTAGTAGGTGAGCTCAGTGAATTGAGGTATAAAACTTGAAATAGTTGTAAAGAATGGGAAAGTAAGCCTGATAGGAAAATAATATTGCTGCCCATTTGGTGTTGAAAACCATGAATTTAATAACTTTAATACTGTTTTACAATTTTATTCAGTATCTTTCATCAGCCTTGGTGCAGGCATGGAGGACACAGAATTGGTTTTATCTGAAATTGGCATTTACTAAACAGATAACAACAAAAGGGGTAAAGGAACAAGGGAATTTAGAGCATTGGGAAATAAGAAATGAGAAACCATGTTCTAAGCTGATTAGGGTGGGATGTGAAGAAAGGAGTAGGCTGTTGGAAAGGGAGAAAGTGGTCTGGAAATCTCAGTATGGTGGAATAACAGGAGTGGTAGGAGTAATTGAGGGAAGGTGTAAGGTGGGAGGATAGGGTGTCAGAAATAATTATTTCAGAGATGGAGCAGTTTTGAGCACAGAAATGTTTCAGTGTATGGTCAGCCATTCTAGTAGATGGCTGAAGTGGAGTGAGAGTCATGGAGCTGAGGCATCAGGGTGAGAGGGATGTGTTCTTCCCTTTGTGTTGAACAAAACATACACTGGTTGAGAGGAAGGCTCTTGAGTCAGGTGCCAAACTCTCCAGTTTCATCCTGGTTGTAGGCAGATGATGATTATCATATGGATGGTATAGGATGGTATACCCAATTACCATAAGCCTTGAGGGAACAAAGGTTTTTATGAAGGAGCAGAGGAGGAACAGCTGGGAAATAGTAGAGGGGAATCAAAGAAGATGCCAGGTCAACATTTTGATCTTAATGAGGTGTGGGAAGATGAGCAGCTCTTTCTTAAGAGGGCTGTGGGGGCTTTGGGAGTTCTACGTAGCACATTGTAAAGGCTTGGAAGGAGAACAGGAACGAGCAATTGTATTATGTGGGAAAAGGAAGCACTAGCTATGAGAGTAAAGATGAAATAATGGGAGGGGCATATACCTTTGACAGTGACTGGGGAAATCTGAATGTAAGGTGTTAATGGATGTAATTCTGGCATGGCTGCAGGGGCAACACAGTTTAGTCCTGGTTTTGGGGAGAGGCCCATGGTCTGTGATGTATGGTTTTTAGAGTGGACAGTAGCAGTTGTGAGGAGCAGCAACTCAGCTGCTGGTCTAGTGTTGGGATAGGAGGTTATAGTGAATGATGCCAAGTGTAGCAAGAAGAATGAATGGGGGTGTCCACTGACCTTCCATTCCTGCCTTTCTTCACTAGGAGGCTCAGGGCCTGTGACATCCTGATTTGGCTGGTATTTAATATGGATTTTTGTGTGTGGCTAATCTGGTACTGACTCACATATAGACACATTATTCTAGCTTTGGAGCTTAGACAGTGATGGTCTTGACTGAAAGGAGGAATAAAAGGGAAGGAAAGGTGTCTGTGAAAACTCTAGGCGTAGATGCCTAATAGGAGGAGTTGTGCATAAATACAGATTTGAGAGTTAACCATCATTTAGAATTGAAGAAGCCATAGTGTGCAGATTGAAAAAAGAAGGGCAAAGGATTGAACTCTGGGTATTACCTAGGAGAAAAAGGGAACAATTAAGGTATTTGCATCATATAACACTTTCATGTGTAAAACATTTTAAAATGTTTACTAACTTATAAAGTCTTTTATTATATCTCTAAAAATGAGTCCTGAATAGTTTACTTTTTAAGCTTTTTATTTTTTATTTTTTATGGAGTTGTCGTGGATTCTGTTATGTGTACTCCTCTTTGCTTAAAGTATACCAAGTATAGTTAAACTTTTCCTGATGGTTCAGGTAGTTATTATAACTATCACTTATTGAGTTTTAATTAATGAACCCTTCAATTTGTTGAACCCAAATTGCCACAGTTTGAATTCTTGAAATGTTTATTATATTCTATAGTTTTCCCTCACCCACTCCATTGTCCTATATTCAGTATATTTAGAAACCAGATAAATGAGATGGTATTTGAAATAAAAATGTATGGGTTTGAAGTATGGACTGGGAGAGGTTCTCCTCAGTCAGAAGTTTTAGTGTATGGACTTTGGGCCATCTGTTTGTTAATGGGTAACCTTTGGTTATTGTCTGGTTCTTGATTGAATTCTGTATAAATATCAAATAATTGAAACTTTATACAATACAGATTGGTTCCATAGATACTGAAGAGCCTACAGCAGAGGAGACATCTGAGTGACGTGGATTTTTTTTCCCTCCAGGGTATTTAAAGCTATTCTTCATCTAGTTCCATCCAACCTTATGAGCCTTATTTCTACTCATCCCCGTCCTCCTCTTCCCCCAGCTAAATCTAAATAGGCTCGCCTGTCACCCAGATTCTCTACTACAACTAGCTATAATGCTTTCTAAACATACTCTGTCCTTTCCTTCCTCTCAGTCCTTTCCTTTTCTGCCTGGTAAAAGAAATATTTTTCATCCTTCAATATACAACTCATGGCCCCATCCTAAAGCAGACTAAATCTTTCCCTGTTGTTTTCCAAATCATTTCATACATAACATCCTTCATACAATTTAAGAAGTTATTTTACTTATATTTATTACTGGTCTACCTGATAGAATTTACCAATAAACTAAGTTTTTCTCAAATTTTAATGTACATTGAAATCTCTTTGATATAAAAAAATAGACCCACAGAAAGTTTGTTTCAGTAGATTTGGGGTTGGGCCTGGGAATCTGTTTTATTATTATTATTTTTTACAAGTATGGTGGTTAATTCTGATCTGGGTTGCCCAAAGACCATACTTGTAAAACCAAGGATCAACTAGTGAACAAATTCCTTCAGGGCAAGGGTTATAATTAACCCACTCTTGTTATTTTCAGACCTATCATGTAGATGGTGCTAAATGAATGTTTCTAAAATGAATTGAGTTTACTGGGGAAGGCCTTTCAATATGTAATGTTTGAGTTGAGACTCAAGTTCTTGGCAGAACCTTAAGAGAGCTTTTAATAAAGGTGTAAGAAACAGCATAAGACAGCATTTCTCAAGTTGTTTCCAAAATACTACTGCTAGGACATGCTTTGTGGAAAAGGGTTTTTGGTGGTCAAATACTTTTGGAAAACTGTAGGTGTAGTATAGACTATAACCCACAAGTTTGAGAGTGGAAGGCTTGAATTCAGGTAGGCAGTGGCTGTTGAAATGCAAAAAAAGGTATTAAGTGAAAGACTGTTAACTGAAGGATCTTTAGGATCTGACAACTATTTAAAGCTGGGAAAAAGATCTGGACATTTTAATCCAAAGTTCTAAGTGGACTGCATCCTTTTTTGATACATATTTTGACTTCTAAGATGGAAAAAAGGCACATTGTATTACTGACAATTAAAAAGATTTACAGTACAATAGTAGGGAGTAAAAAAAATTGAGTTTGTTTATTTTGTTTGCATTTTAGTAGGGTAAAATTTATTCTGATAAGGTTTACCTTCTATCTGGAAAGACTCCATGTAGAAATCATTAACTTAAATGAAAAACATTAATACAAAAGTTTTTCCTGGAAAAAAATTAGATTCTCCTCTTTTTAAGTAACTGGGGAGCTGCAGGACAGGTGGTCAGTTCTGAGTGATTCAGTTGAGAGACTTATTTATCAGAAAATACTTAGTGCTGACAAAGCTAGACACATCTTTAAATTATAATGCATTCAATTTGGACAGTGGCAAAATTCTTTCATACTACATCATATTATAAAGTAGATATATTTGGCTTTGAGAATCATAGATTTTATGTAAAATAAAAACTAATTTTATCACTCATTTGTACTACAAGACTTAAATAATTATCAAGTAGACTTTATTATAAGATTCAAAACATTTTTTTAAAAAAATCTATCTTTATTGATTTCAGAGAGAGGAAGGGAGAGGGAGAGAGAGAGACAGAAACATCAATGATGAGAGAGTTGTCATTGATTGGCTGTCTCCTGCATGCTCCCCGACTGGGGATCCAGCCCCCAACCCTGGCATGTGCCCTGACTGGGAATTGAACCGTGATCTCCTGGATCCTAGGTTGATGCTCAACCGCTGAGCCATGCCTGGCCAGGCCACAAAAGTTTTTTAATAAGCTAATTTCCATAAAACATTTTGCAGTTCTTCCTTGGTAATGTCCATATCCAGTAAGCACAGGAGGTACCTTAAGTTTGGAGAGTTAGGACTCTGCCACTAAACTTATTTCTTGAAAAAATAAACTAATACATTTGGAATAAGTACCAGAAAGATAGGTAAAAGCAGAGAAATGTTTCAGATTAAGACCTTAATGTTTCTTCCTTCTTACTGTCTTTTCAGACAAATGACCATGGAAACAATTGAATCTCAGCAGGATGGAAGTGTAACAGATTCTGTGGCAGAGAGAGAATCTGCACATGTGCAGGCCCAGACTGGTCAAAATTCAATCCGTACTTTAGCTCAGGTAAATTCACTATAGGCAATAGGCAAGCACTGATAAAAGCTAAACTATGTGGAAATGAGAATTATGTTTAGATTCTGTTTTCTTGCAACTGATCTTAAGTTTCCTTTGTTCCCTGGTTATCAGCTATTCTGACTGATTTGATTTAGAAGAGAATCTATATAACTGAATTACTTTTGCATTATAATAGACACTTTGCAGTGCTCCCTCCTCCGCTATGCAAAGGAAAAATAAAAACCTCTCCACAATATGTAATCCTCAAATTTTTATTATTTGAGAAGTTTGGTAATTCCAAGTTGCTATAGTTTTACATTCTTAGCTGTAAATATGGCAGAAGTCTTACCATTTGCCCAGTGTATATTTGGTTTGATCTTTATTTTCTTTTTAGTTAAGTCTTAAAATTTGTTTTTAGCTCCTAAAATTTATTTCTGAAATATCTATAAAAATATGTAGTAAAAACAACCTCATGTATTTATTTAGTTCATCAAATAGTTATTGAGTACACCCAGTATGTATCTAGGCACTATTCTAGATTCATGGGGACATGTGGTTCCTGGCTTTAAGTATCTCTCGTTTAGTAGAATAGATGGATATTTGAATGATGATAGCAAGAAGATGTACAAAACCACTAAAACATACAGAGGAGGGAACAGCCAGTTGACTAGGAGTGCTTTGCAGAGGATATTATTTTGGAGCTAGATGTAAATGGTGTGTAGGAGTTTGCCAGGTGGGTAGGGATAGGGGAGAAAATTCTAGTCTAGGAAAAACTGTGTTTAGAGAACTACAGGTACCGAGGCTAGGGAATTGGAGCTGGGCAAGGTCAGCAGAAGGTTGTATACACTTGAGAGTGTAGAGTATCCTGTATTCTAAATATTCTTGAAATATTTTCCAGTGTTCACTGTGTTTAGCACACTTAACAGCTGTGTTAAGTTGGTTTGGAAGTCAGTGAGCCAATAGTGGGGATACCATTTGGGTGGAGTCATGGTAGTGTGGGGACAGAGCAGCAGTGAGATTTCCACAGTATCTTGTAGGGAGAATATAAGGGGCCTGATGGCTGACTAGACGGCTCAGGGGGCATGCCAGGCACTTCCTGGCTTGTCTCAGGACAGACTGGTTCCCATGAGTTCTCTTCCATGGGCCCCATGCACCCAGTCTGTTTCTGTTAACTCTTTTAAGCTCCTGACACCCACTCTCTCTCCCCAGGGGTTTTCTCCTCCCAAGTATTCTGTGGAACTGCATCTCCCTGGCAACACCCTTCTTTGTTACCCTGGAAGGCAGGCATGCAGACCATTGCTATTTAAGAAAAAAAAAAAAAAAAGCACCCCTTTTCTTACTGGGGGGGGAGCATGTTCATTGTAGAAAATTAACTGAATATATAGAAAATAAAATCTCTCCCTAATCTTAACATTGGGAAATATAATCATTGTTAGCATTTTGGTGTATATTCTTTAGTCTTCTTTGTCTGTGTGACTAGCACAGAATGCACACATATTTTTTCATGAATTTGGGATCTTCTAGATTTTTTATGATTCCTGGGCTGTAATTCTGCCCTTCTTTGCTGAAGTGGTAGTCTAAGGCAAAGCTTCCTTCTGCCTCCACTTCCCTCCCTTTAGGAACTGGCTCACTGACCTCCACACAATCCTATCCCCCAGCATTCTGGGCCTATACAGTCAAAACAATAGATCTCCATTGTCTAAAGATGATAATTTGCAATTCTGAGGACCTTCAGCCTGGGTGAGCCTCAGAAGTGCTAAAGAGGTCAAATAATATGAACTCTGCGAAATAACCTTGGATTTATGAGGTTTTGGAATTGAAGAGAGGAGTCCAATGAACAGAAACTGCGTTTTAGTAGGTTAGAGAATAAATAAGAGGGAGAGGAAGTGGAAATTGGAAGTATAGATTCTTCAAGAAACTTTTCTGTGAAATAACAGAAAGATGGATCTGTGGGACAAAGAAGTGAGAAATGGGATGTGGGAAAATTAGGAGTGTTTTGAACAAATAGAAGGGGGAGATAGAGACTTGAGAAGGCTGCATCACAACTAGATGAAGCCTGTGGTTTACATTTATAATCCTTCTTCCAAAATCTCAAATCTATCAAATGTTGATATTTATTAAATCTAGATAGAAAGCTCATGGACTTTCTATATAATTATTTTTATATATTTTAAATATTTGATCAAAAATAAATTATGGTTTTTATCTTTCACATACTAGGAATGTTAAGAGATTAAGAAGTAATCTGTATGCTGATTCATCTATTATTTTGGTTAAATATAAGTTATCCTCAGTGTCATGCATGGATCATGATTTTTTGAAGAATTAGGATACAATTCTCAGCAGTCAAAATTTTCTAAACATAATTACCAATTTAAATGCCAGAAGTTGTTCATTTATGAGTATTAATTATTATTATGCAATATTATATAACAGAAGGATTAAGAAATCAAACTGAAATCTTAATTAATCCTATAATGTATGCTAAAAGTGACTGACTTCTGAATAATTCCTGATGTCAATGTATTTACTTGTCACTTATTTCATTTTTTTCAAACTAGAGAACTGTAAATTCCCAAATGTTTTAGATTTAATTCAGTTTTGTAAAACGAGGAATTTATACTGCTTTCCTTTTTACATGCTCAAATTATCATTAAGTAGTTTGGGAACAAAAGTTGTGACCAAAAGATTCAGTTTGATCGTTTGCATCTGGCCATTTTTCGGTGGAAATGAGGTCCTTCGACGGAGTCACAAGAAAAGCATTTTGGGAGACCCACGCATGGGAGGATGAAATGTAGTGGTAAAGTTTACCGGAATAGAAATAGAAGGCTGCCCCCAGGTTCCCAGGGTCTCATCTCTGTCCTACTGTTTTCATCAAGTCCAGAAGAAAGGCCATGGTCCACAAATTCTGTGCCTTTGGTTGAGTCCATGTCAAAGCGTAGTCCAGTTTAGCCTTTGTTCCTGTCCAGTTAGTGTTGTTTCTATTCCCCCCACCCAGGCATGCCCTTGGAACTGGTGCAGCTGCTGGGCCTCAGGCAGCTGCTAGGCCTGCGGGGCTGTCACTGAGAGAGAACGTGCCCGAATGGCATCTTAAGGGGGGGTGGGAGGGGGTGGGAGGAGAGAGCGAGAGAGAGCGAGCTTGCCTTTGTTAAACTTGGATTATGTTATCTTGGGTTTGGGAAGGACTGGGTGCTCTTTCAAACTAAATAAGGAATTTCCCAGTCCTTCTCTGGCTTGTTTTGGGCCCTCTCCCTAACCAACCCCATTTCCTAGATCTAGCTCTTTCGGGGTTCTGTGTCCCCTATCTGATCAGATCCTTTTCCCAGGCTAGAGAGACAGGCTTTTATGGTGGCCATCTTAGCTCCTATTGCATATGTCTCAGAATAAAAGCACCCCTCCCCCCATCTTTTCTTTTACTGGGCAGAGTTCAGCAGAGGAATTTCCCCTTTATTGTTCTTCCTGCCTCTCCCATCATTCCCCCCAAGTCCAGCCAGTAGACAGATTGTACCCTGGGGAGATTGGAAAGCTGTTAATCCTCTTGGCGGGGCAATGCTGTGATCCCGAGGTGTCTGAAGTTGTAACTTCCAGGCTTAATTAGTCATATTGTCTGATTTAGCTCCCTACTTTATTATGCTTAATAATGTCTGATTACCTTTGCTTCCTTCCTTTGTTTATACCTAGCTACCTACACTAACAGTAGTAGTTTTGTGTGCTCTGGCCTTTACAAAGCATCTGCTAGTCAAGTTTACTCTGCAAATCATTCCATTTATGAAGATCTGAAAACTTGAGCTTCCTCTTGGCCCATTTCAGGAGGCAGTAGTGCACCAAAGGAAGCTGTAGTTTTCAGTTTTTCTATTTTATAACCTCCCAGCTATAAATGGAGCCTTTTCAAAAGTAAATAGAAGTCACCCTGGTGATAATGTGAAAGAGCTGGAAGCAGGAGTTGCCATTGAACGGACCAAAGTTTTGCCACCCGGAAGTTGCTTTTTAGGATATTGATTTGAAGCTGTTTATTAAGAAGCAAGACTCAGAAAGAAACTTACACCCTCCCCCCTTTCCTGGCTAAGAGAGTAAGGAAGAGAAACCTTCTTCAGGAAGGAGATCTTAGTGAGGCGGGAACCGCCACCATTTTAGGAAGATTCCCCATTTCAGGTATCAGGTTACCTGCCTGAATGTACATGTGACCTTATCTGACCTCTGTAACCCCGCCCACTATTTTCGCGCCACAAGCAGGCCCGACCTCCGACCCTATAAAGCTGACCCAAGCCCTTTGTTCGGGGCCCAGAATTTGGAGATGCCTCCTCTGGGACTGCATGCGTTAATAAAGGTCTCCTTTCGCCTCCTCCGGTGTACGGCCTGAGTCTTTTCCGCTACATTTGGATGCTGCCTTAGCCTAATTTGAATTTAGTGTTGTAAACTAGAGGGCTTCAGGCAGGCACCTATTAGCTAGGTGCTCTCTATGTCCCATTGTTTGAGTCACCTAGCAAGATTTTCTACCCTGTGTGTTCTGCTCTTCCTCAACTACCTGTAAATCACCATTCTCACTCCTGAAATCAAGTACCCTGTCGTCTCCCCCTTTTCTTCCTTGTCCAAAAACGTTTATATACCCAATGTTGCCTCACTGTCTTTGGAATTTTTATGTATTAATCATGTCTATGTGAATTCCCCATGTGCATGAATTAAGCTTTGATTTTCTCCTGTTAATTTAGTTATTGGCCCAGACAAAAGAACTTAGAAGGTGGTCTAGCGGAAAAGACTCAGGCCGCACACCGGAGGAGGCGAAAGGAGACCTTTATTAACGCATGCGGTCCCAGAGGAGGCATCTCCAAATTCTGGGCCCCAAACAAAGGGCTTGGGTCAGCTTTATAGGGTTGTAGGTCGGGCCTGCTTTTGGCGCAAAAATAGTGGGCGGGGTTACAGAGGTCAGATAAGGTCACATATACATTCAGGCAGGTAAGCTGATACCTGAAATGGGGAATCTTCCTAAAATGGTGGCGGTTCCTGCCTCA